TTGGTCATAAAATTACTGTTAAATAATTAACTCGGAGCCAATTTGGTATAGCGGTTAAAGGCAATCAAGCAAGGGATCGAGAAACTGTCTGTAGAGATTCTCAGTCATCCAGGACATGGTTGACAGGAGGCAACTGGACTTTCTTGTTCAGCTGAAGAAGTTTCTTGGATGAGAAGCAAAAAGTCTTCAAAAGAAAAAAACAGAAAGTCCAGTTGCCTCTGAAAAAAGCACCTTTGGGACATTTACTTGGCATACATTTATTCCAAATGCATCTTTCCTTTGCCTTGGGGATGTTTTGGAAACTTTCCAGTAATCAATACTTAAAACATGCTAAATATTTAAAACTGTCTTCAGCCAGAAATTCATATCTGAAGCTATTGCCTTTGGGAGTCGAGCAGTACAAAAATATAATGAACAAATCCAATTTGCTTGGGCTGTGATAATTGTTCAGGTTCTTGTTTTGGGACACAGAAAGGATTAATATTAAAAAATAAATGTAACATGTATTTCCCTGAGTTTGCAGAGGGGGGAAACATAATCTCCCAATGTTACCATTCTCTATTTGTGAATCCCAAGAAGGCCTTTTTGCAACTGCTCTTAAATGAAATCTCTGTATTCCTCAGCAGTATAACTCTAAGTACAGAGCACTTGGGGATAAACCAGGGTGAGCCATGACCTTCATGCCAAGCTGATGAGATTTCACTTCCAGAGGCTGGTAGGACATCGCTGGATGTAGAATGCTGGACCAAAAGCACTTGGCCTTGATTCAGTAAGGCAAGCGAGAGATTTTTATTTGCATCACTCGTCTAGTGTTACAGATTTGGATCCTGCCTAGACATCTCTGCCCTGATGAGCTGGAAGGTAAATGGATCTGCTACAAGGAACAGTGCATTTCCAGAGCATGGAATATTTATAACTCAAAGAGACCCAGGACTGGTTCTGGCACCGATATAAAAGGATGCAAAGAGGCTAAAGAAAGTGGAAAACAGTTTTTTTTTAAAAAAAGCAAAAGTGATTAAGAAGCCTGGAATACAGGTAGTCCCCAATTTACAACTCCTTGGGACCAGAATCTCCATTGCTAAGTGACACAGTTTTCAAGTAAGCAGCACGCAAATATATAACCTTTTTTTTGTGATTATTGATTTGCAGAGTTGTTAAGTGAAGCATGTGGTTATTAAGCAAATAACCAACTTCTCCTATTGACTTTACTTGTTGGAAGCTTGGCTGGAAAGATCACAAATGGCCATCATGTGACCCAAGGATGTTGCAACCGTTGTAAGCACGTGTTGGGTGCCAATCACCCAAAGTTTGACTATATGACTGTGGGGATGCTACAACGGTCATAAGTATGAGGAGCGGACTTCAATCACTTTTTTTCACTGCTGTTGTAACTTCAAATGGCTAAATGAATGATTGTAAGTCAAAGACTACCTGTATTGTCTCCAGAAGCAGCAGTATGTAGTGTATATATTTTCCAAATACCTTGGAAAATTTCAAGTCCATTGTGCTACTAATTATGAAAGGACGGGAAATATACATACGCATATATTATATACACATGCACATATATATAAAATCTGACACCTAAAAGGGTATAATTATATAACCCATTTGAAAAATATCCTACCTGCCTACCCATCACTTTTCTTAATTTCATTATTAAAATTCTGTGATAATAAACACAAAAATAATTTGTGTTTGCTTTCTAAAAGCTTCCACTCGAAAATACTGTAGCACATTTAGTCATTATGTAATCATCATTTGTGTCACATTTCTAAAACACAATATATATGGACTTATTTATACAATTAGAATTTAAAACTGTGTTAAATTTCAACATGGGTTGCAAAGCGTATTTGTCTCAAAAAGATCTGAATCTGTATATAAAATACAGAGTGAAAGCACAGGATTTAATTCTTTTTGTTTGGGTTCCTGATTCTGATAAATGTCTAAAAGAATACTTATAAAGCAAATCTACTAGATAGAATATTCAAAAGCAAAGGGGCAAATATGACAACATGAATCACAAAAAGGAAAAAGAGACCAAATTGTTAAGAAGTTACAGATCATCAGTGCAACTCAAATGAATGTTGTAGAAAGCTTCATTAAAAATATATCGATTTTTTTATGCCTAACTTTTTACATTCTACAGATTCAGATGCTGGCAGAAAAACGGGGGCTGCTTGGGTACTGACAACAAACCACAAACTGCTTATCTCAAACAATTCTGAATAAAAAGCTTAGAATAGATTTGTTTGGAGCTGTATTCCTTTAATTGCCAGGCACGATGGACAACTTATAGAAATTTTAATCTGATTTAGAGGATATAGGATCAAGCAAAGCTAGTTTATAGGTTGCAAATTCAAATTACATTTTTCTTGCCATCATGGGACTATATCTGTAATAGAACATATAATAAACTTTTTTAATAGCACTAAAAATAAGGATAAAAAGAATTCTATGCAATGTCTTTTCTGAAGTGGAATTGGTTGCTTAGAAAAGTGCAAAACTATTCATGTGCAAAAATGAATATAGAAAATGCAATGACCTGTCCTAGCAGTCAGACATCATCACTGACAGAACTATGCATTGGCCTATCCCTTATATCTTTTGAGATACATTATGGCTAAAACGCTCAGGTTTCTCAGTCTGGAAAGATAATGGTAAGGACATGATGATGGAGGGAAAAAAACAAAATAATGTCAAGGAAAAGAAATGACCTCTGTAAGGATCAATGGCCATCCTGGCTATTTTCACTCCTCCCCAAAACAACTAATTAATTTTTTTATAAAAGCATTTCTCAACTGAAATGGATGGACTTCAAATCCCAGAATTCCCCAGCCAGTAATGGAGTTGAAATCCCCCCACCCCATCTTAAAGTTGCCAAGGCTGAGAAAAACTTTTTTTTATAGCTACTGGCATTTATATTAGGCTATTGAGAGGGGTTCCCTTTAGCCCCATCTAAAAAAATGTGTGTGTTCTTTATAATTTTTTGAAACCTGCCTTCCTCTGACCTGAGGAACCAAGTTCAAAAAACCAAATTTGCTGCACCATATTTGTAATGAAGTCAACAGACTGGATATTTGTTTGAAACGCCCAGCCTATCTGTTTGATAAACAAGAGACCTAAATACACTTCTTGGCTTGGTCACCCATAAAGAAAATAGATTTTCCATTACCCATTATTCAGGCATTTTCAAAGGAACTTTCCACTCAAAAGAAAGGGTCCCTTGAGACAAAATCTTGTATAGAAGTGCTCGTTAGCAGATACAGGGCTGACATGAGTTTCTACTCTGGAACTGGGATCCCTTCCAGCTCCTATGAGATACAAAACGTGTTGGCCAGAATGTACTGCGATATAGCAGCCCGAAGGTTATTCAAGGCACAGTATCAGTCCAAAATGCAGGAAATCAGAAACCAAAGTACATTAGTCTTCCTTATATCATGAGCAAAGCGGGGGGGGGGGGGGGCCCCGGAAGCTGATCGGGGGGGGGGGGGGGGGGGGGGGGGGGGGGGAAATGAGTGGGGGGGGGGGGGGGGGTGGATTTTGCTGGGAAACCTTGTATAAACATATAAACCATATAGCCTGGATAATCTATTGGGAGACACTGAGTGGATAATGCCAGAGCCAAAAGCAAATGTAGTCATTTGCTACATTTGGATGGCATCATCTATTTCAGGAGTCTCCAGTTTGGCAACTTTTAAGACTGATGGACTTCAACTCCTAGAATTGTTCAACCAGCCATGCTGGCTAGAGAATTCTGAGGATTGAAGTCCCCAAGTCTTAAAGTTGTCAACTTTGGAGACCCCTGATATATTTCCTTAACCCAAGGATCTTCAAACTTGGCAAGGGTAAGACTTGTGGACTTCAACTCCCAGAATTCCTGAACTAACATAACTGGAGGAGGAATTCTGGGAGCTGAAGTCCACAAGTGTTAAAGCTGTCAAGTTTGAAGACCCCAGCCTCAAATATGCTTTCCTTCTGATACTTGTTCTTCTTTCTCAAGTAGTAATCCAACAGGAAAGGCAAGATGGTTCTTATTTGAACTGATCTCTTGCAGGAAGTTTTGAAATCAATCTGGGGGTTTGCAAGAAATTAGTCTGAAGGCCATACCTGGAGTAGAGCTACAATCTCTATCTGCCCAGTCTTAGAGATTGAGCCAAAGTAGGTGGAACTCAGTCTAAGCTTGCTTGCTACAGAACTCCAAAATCATGCCATAAAAATGGCAGGGAAGAGATTAAGAACAGAAAGACTTTATACCGTATTCACTCATACTTCACTGCACAAGGTGATTCATCCTGAACTAATGAATATAAACTAGACCTCCAGTTTTAGAAGTCTATACTTTTCAGGTCCATTGGCAATCACAAGTTCATCTCTCATTAGTTGTTTGCAGACATAATGATTCTTAGCTTAGTATACACAACCCACTCATTGCTAGCTTTACCACATCACAAGGAGCTCTTCCGAAGAATGAATAAATAGAAGCATTCCTTACAGACTTAATGGTATATGCAGAGATCTCAATCCAGGGCAGTGACAGCAGTCTCCCAAACATGTGAGCATGCAAAATGGTGACAGAAACAACATGGAACTCAATCCTTAACTGCACCTGTAACTTGTATCCCAGGAGTTGGTAATGCTTGACATCCAAAGTGCCAATATTTCATATGATCTATAGAAATCTAACACATTTCAGTGTTGTTTTGATCTGAAGCTAGGTGGTTATACTATAATGCCAAAGGCTGGTAAAATATAACCTATATTAATTGTATATGCAAAGAAGCATTCTCATTTCTTCTCAAAGAAAATCGTGGCACTCAAGTTGTCATCAAACAGTTTCATATTTTAAAAAGTGTGATTCAGGGTGACCTCTTTGTTAATGTAAAAATGCCTCTGACTCTGTATACATAGATACACCCATGAAGTTTTATTGGCACAAAAAATAAGTGGTTTCTTGATGCCAGCTTCTTACATTTGTATTCCACTCTAGCCATGGCTTTCTTAGAAACAAACCAATGTAAGAAAATCTAAGACTGGCTGCAGCCCCTGCATTTGGGCTAAACTGCAGTTTATTAAACTATAGTGGCATGAACTTACTTTGACTCTGACCTGGAAGACTAAAATAACATAACATAAAAAATAAAATTCCCCAAAAAGCAAACTGCATTTCCTCTTCTAATAACAAAAAGTCCTCTAAAACAGGAATATTAAGGGACTAATGCCAAATGTATAAGAACACTGTCATATAAACTGCAGTGTAAATTTTCATTTTTATTCAGTTACATTTTGCCCCCCTCCCTAACCCTGCAGCATTTGACCAGTGCAGAAAAGTGCAACATTTTTTTCCTACTAGAAGTTAACAGAAATATGCTCATGTCCCACCAAAGACAGTTTTGTAAAAAGTGCAAAAAGTGAAGTGCAAAACTACAGAGCATTGGAGTATGGTATGCTTTAAAATACTGCATAATCAGAACATTCTAACATTTGATCAAAGAAATAAAATACATTAGCTTCCTTCTAATAACTGCAACTTTTGACTATGATTCCCTCACATTTCAAGTGAATTTAGTGCAAATAACTGAAAATTAAGGCCCCTTTTATCCTTATCTTCTTCAGAAAAACAACAGCTTCTGAAAATTGCTTTTGTGGAGATCACTTGTTAATTCTTTTATTCTGAAGGATCTTTTGCCATTTCGGAAGAGTTTCTTTGGTGCCTCAGCGGGAAGAAAAATGGTCAAACGAAGGCGTAACCCTTTTGTTTTGCTTTTAGATGAAATGAATCCAGCTCTCTTCACATTCTCTGGGCATCTTAAGTGGATGGTTCCTACAAGTCAGGGTGTAATTCTTGTCCTGATTGTTATCCCAGTGTTCCTGACCGTTGACTTGGTATAGGATCGCAAACTCAATCACTGAGCTAAGCTGAAGAAGGAAGGGGGGCATAGGAAGGAAGAAGGTAAAAATGTCCACTTGGGTCTCACCATTTTCACCAGCAGCACTGCTGTGCCACTGAGCATTTATTTCATGCTGGCTCTTCCAGTGATTAAAAGTATAACGCACAGCCACCTGCTTCTCAAAGGATAAATTGACCACTCTGATTGTGCCATTCAGGCCCAGATCTGAGCTGGACACTCGTTCCAAACACACCTTTTGCTGCTGTAGGCGGCTGAGAAAGTCTTCGCAATCTCCCGGCTGCTGGAAGTCAGGTACCAGGCACTGCATGGTGAATTCCAGGTCCAGCCTGCTGCAACAGAGATCCGAATTAATGGACAGCCGAGAAAGGACGTGAAGCGGGATGGATGGGTCTTCCCCGGCTTGGAAGACTTTCACTTCTGCCAGCTCCAGGCCCAAGGCGTCAGCAAACCTGACACGGTTCTTGCGGGTGTTGCAACCCGGAACACGACAGGGAGTCACCCCGTTACGCTTTCTCTCTGGGGAGCTGGGCAAAGACCGGGCCCGACGACGCATGATGGGTCGGAGATGCGGGTCACAGCTTGTAACCGTGGTGCTCTGAGGAACTCTACCCTCCTCTTTCTTGGGAAGACAGGAAGTCAATTGGCTGGCGCTGCTGCTGCTATGCAAGGGTTGGCACTTCTTTTTTTCCACAAATTGGGTTTCTTCGCCTTGGACCATCTTCTGGTACAGATCAGAGAAACAGTTGGAAGTCCGCCGGGGAGTTCTCAGCACCTTTTGCCCCTGAGGGTGAACCGTTTGAGTGGACATCACTGCTGCCAGGAACCGTCTTTTGCCAAGACGTGAAGGAGAAGGATCAGGTCAGCAAGGAAGGAAAGAAGCACTGAGTGAAAAGCCCAACGATGCTACCCACTGTCCTTGTCTGACTAGTGTAAGGCTATGGCAAAACTGACTGAAAGAATCTGCCACAGGCTTGGGTCAAACACTGTAAGAACCAGAGCAATGGTGCAGAGCGTTGGGTGTCTCCAGGCTATCACACAAGCTGCAGGGGGACTCAAGGCTGTCCGTGAGAATACTGGACGCCTGGGTGTTGTCCCCGAAACTGGCCACCGACTGCAGGCTGTCCAGCTGGATACTGGAGGTCTCAAGACTGTCCCCGAGGCTAAAGATGGACCGGAAGTTGGCCGGGTAAAGCCGCAGACAGTCCCTGCCGTCCCAAGGATTCAGGCTGTCCTGGGGAAAACTGACCGAGCTTTCTTGCTGCCCAGCAAAAGATTCAAGGCTGTCGCTTTGGATGCTGGAAGACTCTGGAAGGCTGCCCAGGCTGGAAGTTGCCTGGAGGTGGCTGGGCTGGACAGAGAGGGAATCGAGGCTGCTGGGCAAGCTGGAAGGCGTCTGGAGGCCGTCCCTTGGAGCGACGGGAGCTTGGAGGCTGTCAGCTTGAACGCTGCTGATGATAGTGGTGGAAGAAGAGGCGGCCAAGCTGGGGCACGAACTAGAGATGGGGTCTGTAATGGGAGATGCTGGAGCCCACATCCAGCCGAGCTGTGGACGGTGCTGGTTTCTTCTGCGGCGACCCCTGTTCAGTTCCAGGCGTGCCAGAGCAACAAGCAGCACCGAGAAGAGAGAGGCAGGCAGGCGGGCGAGCAACCGGCGGCTTCCGATCTTTTGCTCGCTGGAGCGGATCAGCTGACGTGCAAAAAGGAGTTTGAGGAAGAAAAAAAAAGCTGGTGCAACCGGAGAACTACGTGCAAGCCCCCTCTGACGTCACGGGCTGCTGCCAACCCCGCCCCCTCGCCGTCTCCCCTCGCTGTAGCGTGTAGCCGCTTCGTTGCAGTTCCTTGTCCAGCCTTGTGCGTCGTCGCTCCGTTAAACTGTCATACCTGCGCCCCGCCTGCGCACAAGCACGAAGGAAGCTCTTCGTCTTTGCCCGCACTACTGGAGGAATCAGAATGAAAGAAAGAGGCGGAGCAATTATGGGTTACCAAAGGTCACCCCCCCCCCCCCCAAAAAAGGAAAAATAAAGGAAGCCGATTGACGAAAGTCAGAGGACTGGCGTGTTTTATTACCAGACTTGGTGCAGTTTGAAGCATACCGACCTAAAAGTTGGCTTTTTAACTCCAAGGAGTTAAATATGCTTGGAAGTGAGCTGCCTTCAGTTCTATGGTGTTTCATACTTTCTCACTTCTCTGGTCTCTTTAATGGACACCCTAAGCTTCTCTGCCAAGGATCTTTTTCCAAATTATTTCTTAAAAATGCAGCGCCCTGTTTTAAACTGGGGTTAACACATTCAGATTAACTGCTTCAAGTCTGGCTCCAGTTTGTGTGACTGCCTCACTAGCTCCCTCCTCTATTAGCATATCAAAATTAGATTTTAAGGTGGGCCTTTGTGGTGGCAGAGAATTTCAAATGCAGAAAGTAAATCATGTAATCTGCCAGGTTTTGCTGTTCATTTATCATTTATTCCCCCCACCCCTTTCAGGAGACAGAAGCAAAAGTATGTTTTACTATTATTACCGCCAATGGCTGGGAATTCCTGTGCATTGCAGAAGATCCTTCAGAAGTCTACTGCATCAATATTCCCCAGCCTGGAGCCCATTGAGTGCTAAAACATAAATCCCTAAATATGGCTATGTGGGTTGAGGATGAAGGAAGCTGTAGTCCAAATCATCTCAAAGACAGCAGGTTGTGGATGGCTGCTTAAAATATGGTTTCTATTTTTATATGGATGAAAGGCCTTGGAGGATTTTTGATTGCCTAAATTGAATGGGAAGTGCCTCCTAGAACATAGCTGCCAGGCTCCTCCATCCTGGTCAAAAGGAGAGAAGGAAAAGCATTGGAAAAATGGGCATACAAAAAGGTATGTGGGATATGCCACTCTTATCAGCTTGGGGAGAGAAGGAATGCACTGGAAACATCAGAGCTGGGTAGCTAGTAAGATGGTAATTTGCTGAGGGGGAGAAGGGACAATTCTGGAGACCTATGACCTTGGCTTTTTCCCTGTTCTCTCCTCCTCCCCAAAACCATTTAGCTATAAAAGTCTCATTTAGCTCTTGTGTGCTGATCAAAACAGCGCTGTTGTGTGCCATGTACATACCTAAATGCTTGAAACATATTTAGGTTCTGATCCAAGCCATTTAAACGTTGATATTTCATACAGAGAATATTTTTGATTACCTGTTTACCTTAGTGTCCAGAGAAGAATACTCTAACGATTATTCTTGCATAGCTAGGACTGGCATTATGCTAAGCCCCAATTGTCTTAATATGGATATGTTAGATATTTACATAGATTATGTGCCATGAAGTCAGTGTTGACTCTTAGTCACCACAAAATTGCATTTCTGATGACAATCAGCCTCTTAAGATATTTACTATGAATGTTTTAATTAGTTTGATGAATAAACCCACTACCTGGTTGGATAAATTTGGACAGCCTTTCAATATTGTCCTTTTATACCATACAAAATTAAAACAGCATTTCTAAAACTCCTGTAGGGTCTACTAACATCAATCTTGAAAGTGTCTCAAGAGTTTCGCTGTATCCCATCTTATATAAAATAAAATTAAGGCATGGTTACTTTGACCTTCTTTCTCATATGTAGTTCAACTTCTGGATTGTGTAATTGCATCTCCAGGTCCCCTTCTTAAAGGCTCCTTCCTCTCTCCGCCAAGATCCACTGCTAATTCCTTTATAATCTGGTTTACAGTTTAGCACAGGGCATGATGAACTCAATCAATTTAAGCAGAAAGAGGCAGCTCGGAAGAGTAAATCTCTGGTTCCAGTGACCAACCCAAATTCGATCTTGCATCATTATCCTGGGACACATATATTTGCCTTCATTCCAGAAAGAGGTATCTAGAGAGCAACCTAGTGCAAGCCATTAGGGTAGCAGCCAGTAGTCCCACAAATGGCCTCATCTGCACAACTACATGGCACATGACATCACTTCCCCCCAGCAAGCATCCACAATTACATGATTACAGTGCTGGACTTGAACTTGGAAGATCCAGGTTTACAGATAATCAGAGTTGGAAGGGACCTTGCAGGTCATCTAGTCCAACTCCCTGCCCTATACCACTTCTGACAAATGGCAGTCCATTCTCTTCTTGAAAGTCTCAAATGATGGCGCTCCCACAACTTCCGAGGGCAAGCTGTTCCATTGGTTGATTGTTCTGTCAGAAAGTTTCTTATTTCCAGGTTAAATCTCTCCTTGTTCAGTTTCCATCCATTATTCCTTGTCTGGCCTTAAGGTGCTTTAGAAAATAGCTTGGAAAATAACCTCCACTCTGTGGCAACCCCTCAAATATTGGAAGACTGCTATCATGACACCCCTGGTCCTTCTCTTCACTAGACTAGCCAAGCCCAGTTCCTCTAACAGTTCTTCATATGTTTTAGTCTCCAGTCCCCTAATCATCCTAGTTGCTCTTCTTTGTACTTTTTCTAGAATCTCAACATCTTTTTTATAGTGTGGTGACCAAAACTGGATGCAGTACTCTAGGTGTGGTCTTACTAAGGATTTTACTTACTTAAGTTCATCCTTGAAAGCCAAATCTGGCCCTAGGTTCTCCCTCAGTTTACCTTCCCAATAAGCAACTGAGTTGGAAGATCATTTAAAAGCAGTTTATTGGGGTACCCTAATAAAGTGGGATATCTCTCTCTTTTATAATTAACATGACAAAGGAAATGCAAGAGGAAAATTGACTGGACATGGTAAATGTAACCTCCCCTTTGCCTAGGAAATCAGTTATGTGTAGTCAAAACATGTTACACATTTCATTAAAACGAGGTCCGACATCAGAAGGGGCGTAATTGTCAGGGGGAAAACTATTTATTTTATTTTGTCAAGCAATTATTAGATCACAGGTATAAGTATAAACATAGTTATGAATACATGAAATGGATACATATAAGAGAAATAAAAAGAAACAATAGGACATGCATGCCCCCTACAGGCCTCTTAGGAAAGAGGTGAGGTCAATAGTAGACAGTCTAAGGTTAGAGTTGTTAGTTCTCAAAAGAGCTAAACCAGAACTTATTTATTTGTTTAATAAAGTTTTATTGAGTTTGAACAAAACAAACAAAACATCTTATTTGAGTACAGCATGGTTCTGGGTTATCACATTTCCATACAGACACAATTTCATATGCATATTCATCTTATGTATTCAACTTCATATCTTATTACTCTTTTTCCAACTTCTCACTATTTCTCCCTTTACTTCTCTTAATTTTCTTTTATGGTTGTCTCATTTTCTTCTTATTCAATTGTATTTCTTTTACCTAAATTTCTATATCTTTTTAGTCATTGTAATTATACTTTCGTCTGTCTTGTTTACAATTTCATATGTTCTCTTCCAACATTCTTAAGAAGCAAAATTCCCCCTATGATTGCCAATTGCTTTAAATTTTATTATTATCATATGAACTCTCATTAAACACTGAATTTTGTGCATTCTAAAATTATAACATTCAAATTCTAATACCAGACCTCAATTTATACTAGGAAACTTTTTCTCCTCTGGAGCTAGTCTCCCGCTTGTTTCTCTAGGAATGTTAAAAGCTAACAAACCTGAACATCATTTTAAACGAGATAAAATAAATTCAAATACAAAGTAATTATGCTAGTTAACAAATGACAAAACCCATGTCATTTGCACCGCCTCCCCCCCTCCTCCCCGCCCAATCCTGGCTGCCTAAGTTCCCTGGATGACAAGTTAGTCGTTCTCAGCCCCAACCAAGGTCGTTGGGGTGGGAAAATGGAGCGTTGTCCCCAGGCTGCCTGGTTACGTAATGCTCGGCTCCTTCGGTAAACCATGGTTAAACGAATGAAGGCTTAGCAGCAGAGATTGCGCGGGCCCATCCCCGACCCTCTGGGGGCGACGCATGTCTCCCCCGCCGCCCACAATGCTTTGCGGGCGACTTGGCTGAGCTTCCCCCCGGGGGACGGTCGGGGGAGGTCGTGAGCGCGTCTTCGGGGCTTCTCGGCCGGGCCGGCTTCGCGGGGAGGGGGCGGCGGCGGCGGCAGGTAGCGGTGGACGATGGCGGGCGGCGATCCCCTGAGCCAGAGCTGGCTGAAGCCGCCGGGGAACGGACTTCTGCTCCGATGCCAGCCGACAGCTGCGATGCAACGCAGCTCCCCGAGCGGAGGAATGAAGCGGAGAACCGGGCCAGGGCTTGCAGCGGCTCTTCTATAAGATGCGGCGAGGGGTCGCCCGCTGATTTGGGGGCTGGCTCGCTTGCAACGACCCGGAGAAAAACTAAAGCGCATTTCCCCCGCTCCCCCCCCCCCTATAATGGGACCGGGCATCGGAGGTTATCCCGTCTCCCAGCACAGAGGGAGCCTGCAAAACCTGGTTCATGAAACCTACGAAGGCAGCGGAATGGTAACGTAAGGATCCCTCGTTTTGGAAGATGCATGCAGGTGGATGGCTTGTGTTTTTCCGAAGTTCGGGGGCGAAATAATGAATTGTCAGTACAATTTCCCCCATGGCATCCCTTTCTGGGGTTTTCTTTTGATGCTTGCATTCCTGGCTATTTTAAATCGCTGAGTATAGGGAATTTTTTGCTAAGTGATAGATGCCGCTTCTCCCCCCCCCCCCAAACCTAGTTATTTTGAGATATATTCTAAAATAATCTCTATATTCTGCAGAAACCTTGTTAGTACTGGGAGGGGAATAGCTAGTCCATGTTCAGAAGAACGTGTGAAAAAAACAACAAGCAACAGGTATCCTGCGTTTATATTACGGAATAAATTGCCAGATGAAGTTTAAAGTCTAAAAGGGGTTTTGCAATGTTGAAGATTGCAAAAACAGAACATCTTATGGGATACCTGCAAAGGCATCAATGCTTATGCCTCCCAGCTAGTAGCAGTGGCTAATATATATAGCAATCTTCTTCAGTCTTGGCAAGTTTAAGATCTGTGGACTTCCACACCCAGAATTCCCCAGCCAGCCTGGAAACCTGTCTTTCTGAATCTGGCTTCCTCCATGTTGCTGGATTGCAATTCCTGGAATTGGAGGCTATGCAGCTTGGAATTCTGGAAATTAAAGTCTCGGAAAGGTGAGAGATTCATCCCTTTGCCCTTGCTAACCCTCACAAGAATATAAGTGAGCCTAAAAAGTATTAATCTTCTGGTCTGGCTTGACTTATAAACTTATTAACTTGGGAGATTTGGGGTTTGGTGTTTGTTTGTTTTTTGCTTAATATGGCCATGGATTGTCTTCACTTTTCCCAACCTAATCTATATTTCTGGTATTTCCTAATGGTCTCCCATCCAAGCACAGATCAACCCTGACCTGACTTAGATTTCTAAACAAGCTAAGGTGGCATTTGTTGCAAAACAGTACTTAAAAAGCTCCTTCATGTCTTTCCTTGGTATTTTATGAGGAAAGCACTTGGATATATGCAGGGCTGTCTTATGGACCCTGGGCAAAGCAATGTACTCCCTATGACAACTACCCACAGCAATAAAAACATAAATGGACGATTAAATTAAACATATTTGCATTAATTAAAAAATGAAGTAAAATGTAATAAATATGTTGCTGTATTTATAGGATACAAGGTGCATTGAAGGGTTAACATACACAGATTAGTATGGGGCCCCTATGCTCGTATATGTTTCATATATCCAGGGCTTAAGACAGTCCTGGATATATGAATCCCACTTGCAACAGGTTTCCTAGCAGAAATTATAGACCAGAAGAAGAATTAGGTCTGAAACCAGTTAATCTGGATGATGATGATAAACTTGTATACCACTTGATTATCAGTGACTCTGGGTGACTCACATCAATGAAATAAAATAATTGCAATAAAATCAATAAAACACACACACACAAAAATAAATACAGGTAGTTCTTGATGTTTGACCGCAAATTAAGTTCAGAATTTTGATTGTAAGTTGTTAAGCAGGTCACCATTTGACCATGCCTGATTTTACAACCATTTTATGATGGCTAAGAGAATCAGATGGTCATTCACTGAATCACACGGTTATTAAGTGAATCCAGCTTATCCAATGGTGTTTTGTTTTTTTCTAATAGAATTCTGATAGATGACCTTATTTAATCCAAGGAATCCAGAGTCTACCAATCTTGCAGGATCCAATTTTCCAGGCAGGTAGATGTCAACTAACAAAGCCCTATGCCTTGTACAGTAGTTCCTGAGTTATTGATTCCTTACAGATTATTCAGTGAAAGGTTGGGTTCTTTCCATGAGCTGATAATGTCCCAGTTACAGGTTTATACTTTTAAAATATATAATGGTACAACAGATTGCACAGGAGATTGTTTGGAGACTTGAAAATAGTAACCTTCTTTCCTTTATTCTCTTTTTAATGTCAGATATTTATTGGTTTGAAGGGGGAGGGAGAGAGACCTTGATCTAATCATGCATTAGAAAATGCAAGTTTAGAAATTTTGTAAATGTTTTACCACCAGTGTCCTCCTATCAGTGCCCACCCATTTAATTCACATGGATACACATTTTACAGGAAAGAAAGAGAAATGGATTTGCTTCAATGAAAATGCTGTGTATTTTAATAAGCTTTTTATGAGAATAATCACCAGAAAAAAAAGTGAAGAGATTTCTAAGGCAAAAGAACAATATATGTGTAAACTTGTCCTGTTAAAATAAAGGTGTACTTTTTGTTCCCCCATGTAACATCCATCTTTGACAAAACTCCTTTCTTTAATCAATTAGTTCCAGTGGAGGAAAGAACCACTCAAGCACAAAAGAACTAAAGAAATCATCGTTTCTAAAACCTTCTTCCAAGAAGCCAGTGAAAAACACATCTGCGATTGCAGAAAAGGTCAGACCACTTATATTTTTATTGAATGCAAATTATCTTTAGACGCTCATGTCTTCCCTACCACTGCAATTACAATTAAACGTTAATTCATTTCTTTTAGGCTCCTGTAGAGGCCACAGACAGACAGATAACAGCTCAGTACAAAGAGAAAAAGCAAGTTTACGAAGGGCATCAACCAAACAGGTGAAGTTCTTTTGTAAAAAATGATTGCACTTTTGAAATAAGATGATTTGTTTTTCACGGGGATTTGGGAGTGGATAAAGGGAGATAGAATAACCTTAAAAAGGATGGGAGATGAAAATTTAATCGAGGTACTTATCAGTTGAAAATGCAACCTCTGTGATCACTGGTTAATATCCTGTTCAGTTCTGATAGGATGGTGCCAATTTCCTGGCATTAATTTCCTTAAGCATTAATACTGAAAAGACTTTGATTGCCTTGATCGCTGATTTACCCTGATATAATGATCATCACAATTGAAAATAGATGCCACCAGATGAGAGGGCTCTTTAAGTCTTCTGGATAAGAGTTCAGAGCACTGGGTGACCTTGAGCGCTGATTCCAGAATGTGGCACTAAGCATCTTAATACAGGTAATAGCAATAGCACTTAGACTTATATACCACTTTATAGTGCTTTACAGCCCTCTCAAAGCAGTTTACAGAGTCGTACAGAGTAATAGAGTCAGTCTATTGCCCCCCAACAATCTGGGTCCTCATTTTACCCACCTTGGAAGGGTGGAAGGCTGAGTCATCTTTGAGCCTGGTGGGATTTGAACTGGCAAATTGCAGTAGGAGTAGCTTGCAGTACTGTACTCTGACCACTGTGCCGCCGAGGCTCCCTAATCCTTGACTTATGACCACAATTGAACCTCAGATTTCTGCTGCTAAGTGAGACAGCTGTTAAATGAACTTTGCCCCATTTTATGACCTTTCTTGCCACAGTTAAGCGAATCGCTGCTGTGGCTAAGTTAGTAACACAATTGTTAAGTGAATCTGGTTTTCCCCATTGACTTTGCTTGTCAGATGGTTGCAAAAGGTGATCACATGACCCTGGGACCTTGCAACCATCATAAATATGAGTCACTTGCCAAGCGTCTGAATCTTGATCACTTGGGGATGCTGCAACAGTTGTAAGTGTGAAAAATAGTCATGTCACTTTTTTTCAGTGCTGTTGTAACCTTGAATGGTCATTAAACAAAGTGTTGTTAAGTCGAGGAGTATCTGTAAGTCAAAGATACAGGTTTTTAGGCCCTGCTTTCCAGTGGCGGGATTCAAACTTTTTTACTACTGGTTCTGTGGGTGTGGCTTGGTGGGCGTGGTAGGGGAAGGATACTGCAAAATCCCCATTCCCTCCTCACCCCACTAACCTGCTTTCCAGCTCTGTTCTCCTGTGCAGGGCAACCAAAGGAGACTCAGCCAATCAGCTGGGACTCAGGAGGCAGCGAATAGATGGGGGCGGGGCCAGTCAGAGGGGTCATTTGCTGGTTCTCCAAACTACTCAAAATTTCTGCTACCAGTTCTCCAGAACTGGTCAGAAACTGCTGAATACCACCTCCGCTGCTTTCTCACAAAAAACACCTTGATTCCCGTTGAAAGAATGGGTGTCAAACTGGCGCCCCGTGGGCCAGATGTGTTAACGTGCAGGCCACGCCCACCCCAGCTCCGCAAATGGGAAAAATGTCATGAAATGTCACGTGACGGCAACGTGACGCGGCGAGTTTGACACCCGTGCGTTAGAGAATCATTCAATGAAGTGCAAAACGGCTGTATCTGAAAGAGCAAAACTGGTGACTCTTCTTTTGGATGAGTCGAACTTTTAAGCACCCTGAACATAATTTGTCCCGGTGGAAACATCTACTACTATGCCTTTAATCCTAGGGAACCATGTGATTTCTGTTATGCATTATAATGGCAATAACCAGTAATCAACGTCGATATCTGAAAAAGAGTTACACCTATTTTATTTTGTATACTTAGGTTCAGGAATTAGAAGCCACTGGTGAAAAGTTGCCAGCTGATGTTTTTTTCATCTTTTTTTCCCTTGGGGAAAAAAAACATTAAAAGTCATTAGATTATAAAATAGGAAATTTGGAACTTTTTTTCTAGAATAAGAGTGAACTTTGCAAAGCTGCTCGCCCTTCACGAGGCTTTCCCAAAGTGTTGCAAAGGCCTTGCAAAGTTAACTGCTGCCTTCACTGGGCACATTTGTCATCAGTAGGAGGGAAAAGATGGCGAAAGGTCAGCTGAGGGCATCAGGGGTGGTGGTAGAGTGCCGGACAACCAAGAGGACAGAGATTAGTGGGGAGAGAGACAGATAGGCAGATGGAGCAGGGCAGGAGAAATAGAAATAGAATAGAATAACAGAGTTGGAAGGGACTTTGGAGGTCTTCTAGTCCAACCCCCTGCCTAGGCAGGAAACCCTACATCACTTCAGACAAATGGTTATCCAACATCTTTTTAAAAACTTCCAGTGTTGGAGCATTTACAACTTCTGGAGGCAAGTTGTTCCACTGATTAATTGTTCTAACTGTCAGGAAATTTCTCCTTAGTTCTAAGTTGCTTCTCTCCTTGATTAGTTTCCACCCATTGCTTCTTGTCCTGCCCTCAGGTGCTTTGGATAATGTTATTCTCTGTTATTCTAACTCTAATCTTGAAGAAAACAACCAAGCTCAGAGAGCAACAAAGACCCCTCATGTTTGTTGATGTCATTGCCTTGCTGATCTGTTGGTGCGTTTTTGTGTTTTCTCTTTTTCCGTTTTATAATGTTAGGCTCCTGAGTGACTTAGGGTTGAGTCAGATACATTGTTTTAGGATCTTTTTAAAGCTTTCCCTTTTTATGGAAACACTTGTGTACTAACTTGTACTAACACAAACACTTGTACTTCCTCACATAGAGTGGCCAGGTCGAAAAGAGAACTTCTGGTTAGAAAAAGTCATGAGGCCGGGGACAACAAAATTCTTCCTGCGTTTAAAGATGTCTCATGTAGTCCTTTCAGCGGGACAGAAGATGCGATGATCCAGAGGTTTTATTGCAGACAGAAAGGCAGTTTGGAAAGAAACTTTGGGGAGGAGGTGGAGGAAGCAGGTCCTAGCGGTCTTTCCTGTCCGGTGGCGATGACTGAGGCAATGTTTCTGGACTTCGGATCTTTGCAAATGATGAAAGAGGAAGACTCCGAGGAAGACGATGCCAGTGACCTTTCAGATTCTGAAAGAATTCCCATCCCTCCATCGCCTTGCACGCCCCCAGAGCTCAATCTGCGAGCAGAGGAGATCGATCCTGTTTGCTTCGAACACCACTTCGAGACGCAACGGAAGCAACCAGACTACCATTACCCGGACTTCCTCCCGCCACCTTTTAACACCTGGGACTTGAAAGGGTTGGCTGCATTCATCAACACCGAGTGCAAATCGGAACCCAGGCCGGAACCTACGGGATTTCTTGAGAAGTACGTGGATCGTCTTTTGGAACTGGAATGGCTGCAGATGCAAACTGTGCAAACTGAGAAAGGAAAGATAACCAAAGCTCGGGTTCAGACTGCCCCCAGCGTCCTCCGGTCCTTGAAAAGTTCCGGCAAAAGCAAACTATCGCACAGCCCTTTAGCAAATAAACAGTCGATTCTCCCCGGAAACATTCCAAGACTCCCCAATGCAGGTCTCAAAAAGGACTTTCCTGGGGAAAAAACCAACCCGGTGACATCCCTTGAGAGTCAGTTGAAGGCCACTGGATCCACCCAAAGCTCATCCGCCCATCAGAGGAGACCATCTGAAGCAAAGAATGAGACCAAAAAACGGCCTGCCCTCAAGCAGCATTTGGCCAGTATGCCTTCTTTTGAGATCCAGGAATCCTGCATGATCCATGGAGCTGGTAACATGAGACCTGCCAAGCCGCCATCTTCATTCCATGGCTCCACTGTCCCGCTTAAGGGGTTACCAGCCCATATATGCCCAAATCCCAAGAATGGAAAGGCAAATAATTACACTCCTCCCAAAAAAGCCTCTGTGGATCCCAAGCTAAAAACAAACGGCCTGAAACAAACACGGTGCAAATTTAAATAATGCTGGGACAGGGTTTGTTGCTTTGGTACAGCGGCCCTTTTCATGGTTGCAGGAAGAATCTAGAATGGCGGTTCTTGAACTTCGAGGTAGACTTTCATAGGGAGATTCCATCATGTCCTTGACTTCTCATCCCATGTTGTGATTGGTCCTGAAGACAAGAATCCTGATCCTTCATCTCTGTCTCATATACACCATTGGACATGCAGGTGTCCTCACCCTTGTGATGTTTGCAATGACAAGACACCACAGTATGAGATCTTTGGTCTTCCTGGGATTCCTTCCATAAGCATGTAACATCAAAAAATGCTCACAGCCTATATACTCATCATGGCCTCTTTTTAAAAAAAAGTTGTGATGTGTGGCCAGCCATTTTTTTCCTCCTGTGGTAAATTTTTGCAGTTGTTTTTTTTTAAAATAGGGAATTATCACCTTTAAAGTTCATTCTTCCATGATGTACTACTCCTTGTATGACATTGTGGGTCAAACTAAATATTGAGTGGTAAAAAATGTACATAAACAAGTAAGAAAACTTTCTCCCAATTCCCATGATTTCAACATATAAGAACATTTCTCTCCCTGTGCTCAAGAGTTTCCTTTTGAAATTATACATTTGATGTCACTTTTTTTTTTAAGGATGGCATTTATAGACTGCTTTTCAATCTGCACCAAGGAGAATCCCAAAGTGGTTTACAAGGCCTGCGTATTGGGAGAGGTTGCTGGGCTGGTGTTATTGCAACTAGAATATTTTGCAACTTTTAATTTGAGGCTGGCCTGGGGGGGTTGTCGGTCAATGGTGGTATGCTACCGGTTCAGACTGGTTCAGCCAAACCAGTAGTCGAAAAAAAAAGCCTCCGAATCAACTGAGAGGAGAAAGGAGAGAAAAACGCAGGATCTGACCTCCCACCCTGCCCTGCGCTTTTCCTTATCCTCTCAGCTGATTGGCAGGCCGCAGCTGGTGTGGGGAAAGCTGCGCGTGTGCATTAGGTGTGCACGCAATCACCAAACCAGCAGTGGAACAGGTAGGATCCCACTGCTGGGGGTCAGTATATATTTTTTGCATTTGATAGAACTGCAAAGAAAGATTGTAGGATATAATGAGTTGATGGTGCCTTTCAAAGACTGATAATAGGTTTTTGGGAAGACCTATATGGAAGAAAAGATGCTGGAGAATATGGAGAAATAAGAAAAGAGTCAGGAGTAGTAAGTGGAGGAAAGAATGAAAGTTACTTCTTGAAGAATCCAATGACCTTTTGCCTGGGAATTCTGCCACTTTCAGTCTCCATACATTTAGTATGTGCTATGTTAGGGACTTTGTGCCCATGGTTCATAGCTGAACAAAAGATTAATTTTCTAGTTTATCTTTACTTCCACATTTACCACCTCAGGTGTCAAGGGTATCTAATTTATCAAGAAGCAGGAGAAACTATAGTTCAATGGGTAGGAGGATCATTTCAAATTTCCTCTTTCTTGACTTTGGAACAGTTGAGCAACACAAATTAGACAAAGCTCTTTGCTCTGCTTAGCAGTTACAGAACCTGTCTTACATGTAGTTTTTTTTTTTTAAAAAACAAAACTTTATGCTCCTTCCAAAGCCTTGGGAGTTTTTAAAACAGAACCAGCTTTATCTAATCAATATCAAAGACACTCATATTCTGTTTCTCCACTATCATTTTTATTGTTACTTAGAAGAGTAAACTAAGGGCATTTCCAGACATTGATGTTCTCAGCAACTGTATTTGTAACTTGAACACTGAATCTTCAGCTTCTGTACAGCTATTGAACAAAGATCAGTCCATCTGGCCCATCAGCCATTTAAGTTACCCACAAAAATACCACAATTATGAAAGAAACATGCATAGTTGATATTCTGGTTTTGTTCTCAATGGAATAATCAATGGGAAGAAGTTATTAAAGGGATCGCTTGATCCAGTCAACGAACCTCCATGGGCAGGGATGCCTGCAGCAAAGTGGGACCTGGTGTGGGAAGGCCTATTCTTCATTGACATTATACAAATTCTTTTTTTTAAAGTGTCTTCAAAAAGAAATCCGCTTAGACTTTTAATTTTTTTTTTCTGGGAATCAAATGAACATGAATTGGCTTCACTGGTTTCAGTGCAGTTGCTCCGCCTAAGGATTAGGATAGGAGTTTTCTAACCTTGGCAACTTTTAAGGGTTGTGGATTTCAGCTCCCAGAATTCCCCTGCATGGGTGGCTGGGGAATTCTGGGAGTTGAAGTTCACAGTTGTCTCAAAGGTGCTTTTTCAAAAGGCAACTGAACTGGTTTTTTTCTTTAAGAAGAAGAAGACATTTCGCTTCTCATTCAAGAATCTTCATTGATTCTGGCAGGATGGTGGGACAATGGAAGGATTAGTGCTGATAGGATGGCGGGGGGGGGGTGTTTGGAAGGATCATATTGCTTTGCAGTCATCTGGTCGTTTGCACTCTGTGGGAGCTCTTGAGGCCACTTGGGGTTTAACTGAGAATTCTGCACTGAGAATCTCCACAGACAAGTCCATAGTTCTTAAAGTTCCCAAGGTTGGACACCCCTGGATTAGGACTAACCCCAAGCCAACCAGTGTTTTCTTGGATACCGTCTGCAAGTCAAAAATCAGTCTACTCTTACCAAAAGATTATCTCTTTCTCATAATGTCCTTAGTCAATAATATGATCCTAGACAGTCTCTCTAAATCAAGAGTTTTTCAACCTGGCAATATCCAGATATGTGGATTTCAATTCCCCAAATTCTCATCAGTGGCCATGCTGGCTAAGGAATTCTGGAATTTGAAATCCAGGCACCAAGAAATTGTCAAAGTGCTGGAAATTTTCTGTCTCTGTGATTGTTTTAGTTGTCCCAGCAGAAAGTTGAAGTAGAAAAAATATAGGCCTGTAAACCTATCGACTGATTGCACCTTTCCCTAATGAAGAGGCCCTTAAGGCAAGAAACAGAAAGACAAATAAACGCCTCTTAGCTGCTTTGTGACAACTAGAAGGTATAAAAGATATTGTTGCATGGTATATTGCCAGCATGCAAAAGGGAATCAAAAGTGAGTGGAAAAAAAATAGCTGGGTAGCTTCTGCTATTAAAATAGGGTCACCAAGAAAAATATAAAAGTGAAATTGATTAGGTTTTTCTTTTTCTTTCTTTTTTTGTAATGAAACGTTTCATTTACTGGTATTTTTGTATTTATTTTAAGATTCGTACTTAGTTAGATTGGCCTGCTCCTTTCCATACCTGCAAAAACATACTGAATATTATATACTGAAAATTAAGACATTATAATGCTCTGCTAGCCGTTTGTCAGTAACTGCCAATAATAAAAGCAGGGAAGAAGAGACTGTTAATTTTTTTTTTACTAAGCGTTATTGAAAGGGGGATTCAGGGCACAACTTCTGCATTTTTGGGTACATAGCAGCCCTGCTGTAACCATAATGGCTAATTTGATCATTATAATCAGTTCTTTCATCTCAGCTTGTATCCTAAGGTTGGTCTATTTCAAGGCATCTGAAACACTTAAAAGCAGTTCAAAACGAAGTGAAATACGGGGTCCTTGGTGCTCTCTGAGCTTGGTTTTCTTGCAAACGTTTCATTACCCAAACTGGGTAACATCAGTCATTTTAGCCCTGAGCTACAACTATTCTCCTTTAAAGTGAAATACTTCACCCTGTTTTTGTATGTAGCTGTATTGATAAGGCCCGATTTGAAGATCTCTGGATCCTTCCAAAAGTTTCAATATTTTATAAGAATTTTGGGTAAGAAATCTGTAGTTTTGAAGACACAGTAAATCAAACTCAGAAATACTATTTGATAGTAGTGGGAAATTTCACAGCGAATGCCAGGGTGTGCAAATAAAAACTGCTGCCTTCTTGAGAGGTTTTATGTGGAGTGCCCAAAGTTTTTATCCCCTGGATTACATTTATTTTGTACTTGGTAAGCAGAATATAATTACGTACTAAGTAATCAAGGCATTTTCCTATCATCTTTTACTGAGCCATTCACTTGATGTGGTTCTCTGGGTTTTTTGGAAGTTATGGTTGATGTGCAGGGTGAATTGAGACATATATGTCATTAAATTGACTTCATTATTTATACTGTGGTTTTATCCCCCACTGTCTTTCTCCAACCATAGCAGTGTAAACTTAGAAATCATGGTATTTTGATTGTAAAAGCAAATAAAAAATATGGATTTGAATGATGTATAAGTAGTCCTTAACTTACAACCGTCCATTTAGCAACTGTTCAAAGTTACAGCGACACTGAAAAAAGTGACTTATAACTGGTCCTTGCCTTTACGATCACTGCAGCATCACTATGGGCCACGTGATCAAAATTTGGGTGCTTGGGCAATCGGATGTATTTACCACGGTTGCAGCATCCTGGGGTCCTGTGATCACCATTTGGGACCTCCCTAGATGGCTTCCTAGTCAATGTGGGAAATCGTATTTGCTTAACAACCATGTGCTTCACTTAACAACAGCAGTGATTTTCTTAACAATTGCAAAAAAGGTCATAAAATCAGGCACAATGCACTTAAACAACCAGCCGTGGTGGCGCAGTGGTTCGAGTGCAGTACTGCAGGCTCCTTCTGCTGACTGCCGGCTGACTGCAATTTGTCAGTTCAAATCTCATCAGGCTCAAGGTTGACTCAGCCTCCCATCCTTCCGAGCTGGGTAATATGAGAACCCAGATTGTTGGGGGCAATAGGCTGACTCTGTAAACCACTTAGATAGTGCTGTAAAGCATTGTAAAGCGGTATATAAGTCTAAGTGCTATTGCTTAGCTGTAGAAATTCTGGTCCTAATTGTGGTCATAAGTTGAGGACTACCTCTACTTGATTTTTTGATACCTCAAAAATGATGGAAAACTATGCTGTTCTTTTAAACTTCACGGATGCTTTCGGTCAGATTTCAACTTAATTATGTTATTGAGTGATCGAGTAACGCATCATTATTCAAAGGTCACATTATGTTGTGATTATCCAAATGTTCTATGTGCACAAGCATGCGTGGTCAGAATTTCCGAGTTTTCTCTGAAAAAAATAAATAAATACTTTGTTCAGAACTTTGCAATCAGCCCTGGTCAGATTTTTTTAAAAAAAACACCACTACCACCAAGTACTTATTATCTGTACAGAACTTACAAATAGTTGTATGAAATACATGTGTGGGGTTTGCTAGAGCTAAATGTAGTATGACATATGTCCACATGTCCAGTATTCTCCCCCATGAGCAGACAAACCCCAGTTGGGATACCGCATCCAGTTTGGGCCACCACAATTCAGAAGGGAGCATGAAAATGTTCAGAGGAGGCTACCAAGATGGGTCTGCAAACCAAGCCATGTGATGGGTCTGCAAACCAAGCCACGATCTGAGCACGTCTGACTAATGGAAAATACAACTGGGGAGATAATGATGGCACTCTTCAAATGACTGAAGGGTTGTCAAAGAGAGAATGAATCTCTTCTATTGCTCCAGAGAGCAATAAATGTAAAGTGAAGGGCAATAAATTAAGCCAGCCTGATGAGATTGAATGTACTATTGTGGTATCCTTGGTGCGCTCTGAGCTTGGTGGTTTTCTTGCAGATGTTTCATTACCAAACTAGGTGATGTCATCCGTGCTAGAAGGGAATGGGGTTTGCTCTTATTTTTATATTCTAGTGGCTTGCCCTGTTGGTATTGGTAGGAGTGTTCTTGGAGGTTCCTTGATTAGGTTGTTGACTTGTTTCTTGGCATTGGTAGTTAATCAGTGTTTCTCAACCTTGGCCACTTGAAG